TTTTTTTTAAGATTGTATGTATGTATGTATGTATGTATTTATTTGACACAGAGAGAGACAGCGAGAGAGGGAACACAAGCAGGGGGAATGGGAGAGGGAGAAGCAGGCTTCCCGCTGAGCAGGGAGCCTGACACGGGGCTCCATCCCAGGACCCTGGGACCATGACCTGAGCTGAAGGCAGACGCTTAACGACTGAGCCACCCAGGCGCCCCTTAATCCTGTCTTAATACATAAATGACCGCTTTGAAAAAGTACTACTTAGACTCTGTGTGTGTGAGGGAGTAGAGAGGAGAAAGTAGGAGTAAAGGATGACAAATCAAATCCCATACATAGGCCAACTACAAAAGTTGGCAGCTACGGATCTAAGACAAAGTCGTATTGGATCCTTATATGGGAACTAAGAGATCAAAAGAAGATAGGACAGCTAACTTAAAATCCCAAAGTTTTCAACCAAGTTGAACCTACTGGCAGATGCTAGATTATTAGAACGACCCATGAGCCTAGAAAGCTGAAGAAAGTTTTCTCATTGAAAAAAAAAGACATGCTGCTTAGGGGAAAAGAGTAAAAAGAACCAGGTATCACACATACTAGTGAGTAGCTAGTGAAATACAATGGTTGAGAGTTCATATATCTTATCTTAGATGTATACAAGACCATTATTTCTCTTATCTGTCAGGAGATATACATTTAGTTACAGTATTAAACACAAACAAAAGATTGAGCTTCTAGTAGAAAACCATATCCTATCAGCTACAGAATTACATGGAGTCACCCATTTCTTATACAGATATTGACTTATGCGCCCCACCGTAATATCTGATAAATGAAAACAAACATTTATTAAGCACATGCCACATGTAAAGAAGTCTGCTAAGGACAAGCAAAGATGGCTAAAAGAATACCTGAGCTCACAGTTCAGGGCATACTAAAAGGAAAAAGTGATGGGTCATAAAAGGAAGGGAGGGAAATCAATATGAATGAAAAGCTAGCATCTCACTCTAGGGAAAAGGGGACCGAGGATTAATGCTTTGGTAAAAGCAATAAAAGTAGATTCCTGGGCAATGTGAAGCTGAGAGTGGTTCAATCTCATCAGATTCTTAAGGCATCTGTAGATCCAGTTTTCCAAAGAAAACTAGGGCAATGACAAATGGGACAGCTAAAGGTAGGTCATAAGTACAGCAAAGAAAGCAACAGCCAGCATAAACCTGGCCATTGTTATTGCTGAAGTCGTGGAATTACTGCTTTCAATCACTCTAGTCATCATTGGCTTCCTGATACGATCTTCTGTGGTGAGGATAGCTTTTCGGGCTCCATCCCATTTTCCAGGGCCTTGAAGACGATACTGGATTGGAGTGCAGGGTCCCCAAAATAGCTGTACTGCCAATTTGGGGTCAGTGAAGGCCAGAGACAGCAGATTGGGCCTGACGCCCACCAGATCAGCAAGCTCTTCCATGGTATCTATGTAGTCTACCTGAATGGTATGGCGTTGGCTCTCCACATACCTGAAGCAGAGAAGACAAAAGCCATGGCCTATCAACAACTCAATCAATCAATCAATCAATCAATCAATCAATGCTTCTGAGTGCCTATTATTGGCTCCCTATTCGGCTAGGAGGTATAGAAAACAGAAGAAAGAGAAGACGTTATCTCCAACCTTAAGGACCTTATATAATCTACTGGAGGATAGAAGACAGATACACATGAAGCAGAAAAGAATATGAGAGTTTTGGTATGTTGTGTAGTTTTAGATTGCTAAATATAAATGTTAGAAGAGGGTAGTTAAGATAGAGCAATTAGTCCTTGAAGGATGTGGAGGATATATCTGATAGCAAACAGCGAAGTGTTACAAGTCAGGGGAGCAGTAGAATGAAGGAACAAAGTAGGAATGAGTATGGAGTATGAGCATGGAATATCTACGGGTGCTACCTACAGTAGAGGAGGCATGTTGTGGAAAACAAGGATGGAGAGAGAGAGACAAATAGAGCACATCCAGATACAGAGGACTCTGATGTTATGAGAGAACTCCCCACAAAAATTCTCAAGTTTGGGATCTTCAATTGTTTATGAGGGCAGTGGTAGTGGGCTCCACAGAGCAGGACTTCCCAGGGCCAGTGCTAATTTGGAATACTGAAAGGAGGGGGAGGATGGCTCATCCCACTAGAGGAAGTGGCCCTCCAAACAGAATCAGATGGAGTGATAATACTAAGCACAGATTTGAAGAGCAGGAACTTTTTAGGGGGAAACTGTGGTAACAGATACTTGTGGGAGGAGTGGGATTTAGAGAGCTAACTGGTAACTTTTTACTTCCTGTAAGGAAAATAAAATAACAGTAGGACAGAAAGGAAGAGGAAAGCCAAGTCAAATTAACTGAGATTAGATGGGATAACTTGAGGAAGCCAAAAACGAGGCCAGGAACAAATGACAGAAATTTGAGGTGGAACTGGTGAGAGGGAATTCTAGAGGAACCAACAGATGGTCCAGTTGGAATTTATTGAAATGGGACTCATTTTATAGAAATGGGCCTAGACAGGAAAGAATTTTGAGAGCTTCCCCTTATGGATATTATGTTGGCTTAAGGGTCTGTAGGCATGCATTTAGCCTATAGTAGGGAGTCAAGAGCCGAGTATTCATGGTTTCCCAAAAGGGATTCACTATACCAGCCTTGTAGGTTGTGGCAAGGATTAAATAAACTCATGCATATAAAACACTTTGTGTACATAGATGACCCTCAATAGAGGTCATTGGAGACTGCTCACAGAAGGTAGTTAGACAAGAATAGGTCAAAGGAAAGAGAGGAGGAAAGTTGAAATAGGATAGTTTACTGCCAGAAAAGCAATAATAAATATTATCTAAATCCTTAAAATAACACAAGGAAGATTAAATATAATACAATAAGGGCGCCTGGGTGACTCAGTTGGTTGAGCATCTGACTCTTGGTTTTGGCTCAGGTGTGATCTCAGGGTCATGAGACTGAGCCCTGAGTTGGGCTCCACCCGCAGGGTGGAGTCTGCTTGAGACTCTCCCCCTCTCACTTTGCCCCTCCCTGCTGCGTGCTCGCTCACGCGCGCTCTCTCTCTCTCTCTCTCTCATATAAATAAAGAAATC